TGCTTTTTTGTTCGCTGTCTTTGGTAGACGATGATGATAGATTACGTTTTGGGATATTACGGGACATATTTTAACTGGGAATAGAACGCCATTAGCGAATAGCGATAACGGACGGAGGTCCTGCACGTCTGCTCACGATAAGCGTTTACGATCGACTGTGTTTTTTTCTTTTTAATTCTAAGATTTGATAATTTAATACAAGGCTACTAACATATTTTTACAATAGCAGTTGCAAAATAAAAGAAATACATAGTCACAATTTTTTTTTTACAWGCATTTAAATTTTAATTTTGACAACATACGTAAAAATCACGAAAATTCGCAAACTGTTTTAAGCTAGAAATTCATAAAAAAATTTCTTTTTAAATCTAAGATTTGAAAATTTTTAATAATGTATAATATACCCTAGACAGATAAACCATCTCCGTTCAGAATCGTTTTTCGTATACAATGATACCTATCATTGCATTCAAATTTAACCTACCCTAGTCAGAGGTCTATCCACCCCATCCCCAAATGTACAGCAGAGCGATACCCACTTACTCGCTTTTTTTTACAATGGCAGTTAAAAAATAAAAGAAATACATAGTCATCATTTTTTTTTTATAAGCATTCAAGTTTTGAATTTTGATAACATATTATGGAAAAAATAACGAAAATTCACAAATTATTTTAAGCTAGAAATTTATAAAAAAATTTCCTTTTATATCTAAGATTTGAAAATTTAATACATGGCTCCTATCATATTTTTACAATAGAAGTTGAAACATAAAAGAAATGCTTAGTCACAATTTTTGTTTACAAGCATTCAAAGTTTTAATTTTAGACAACATACGTAAAAATTACGAAAATTCATAAATTATTTAATGCTAGAAATTCATTAAAAAATTTTCCTTTTATATCTTAGAATTAAAAATTTTCTATAAGGCTCCTAACATATTTTTACAATAGCAGATGAAAAATAAAAGAAATATATTAGCACAATTTTTTTTTACAAGCATTCAAAGTTTGAATTTTGACAACATGTGTACAAATCACGAAAATCACGAAAATTCGCAATTTATTTTAAACTAGAAATTCATAAAAAATTTTCTTTTTAAATCTAAGATTTGAAAATTTTTAATCATCTATAATATATATTCTAGACAGATAATCTGTCTTCGCTCAGAATCGTTTTTCGAACTGGTTTTACTAACCCGTTTTTCTGTCATTTTTTTTTTTTGTTTTTCTCGATTTTTTTAAAAACTGTTGGAAAATGTTAACTTTTGACCTTTATAATGCACCAAGGATATTCACTTTTACATCGGAAACCACCACCAAAGTTTGAAATTGTAGCATTATTTCGACTAGTTATGCTGTATACATCAGACTCACACCCACACAAAAAAAACACACATCATTGTAAAATCAATACATTCATCACTTATTCGTTCAGAATCTAAATATATATATATATATATAATAATGCATATTAATATTATACCAGAAAATCATAACTAACATTCATTTATAAAAAATTACTACAATTCAAAAATAACAACATATAAAAATAAATTTTTTAAATAATCGGATAATATTATTGTTTTGATCATACTATTTACATTTAATAAGGTCGCCTTATTCAAAAAATAAAAACTCCAGCAAATTTAAATTTGTATTGTTATTATGGTTTCTTTTATTAAACTAAAATATGATTTAATCTCTATACTATGCGTATAGTCTTATGTAAGAACCTACTTGTTGTGTGAGTGTGATAAAGTTTATTGACAAAATACACGTCCTGTTTAGGAACAAACCGGGGTTTACATATAACAACTTTTTGAAACATTCTACCTAACTTACATAATAACAACAAGAGTAATCAATACATAAATAAAACTACATTTACAATAACTGCTTAAAATATTTAACATATTAAGTTTAACAAATTAAAAAGTAGGTAACATTAAAAATTACAAACTTGAATTTCATTCCTTATATTTAAACACGCTTTGTGTTTATCAATGTTATCGTAATCAGAAAAATCACTATTATTTGTATTACCTGCCGCCATTAAAAAGTTGATAGACAAAGATTTCATGATCGTTTAATTTATATCTTTTATGTAGAACAAAGAACTTTAATTGTAAAACCTGATATGAAATAGACAAACAATGTTACTTCCTATAAATTTAAATTTAAATCTTAGAAAACATACTACATAATACGATCTAAAATTCAAATACAAAAATTTGAGTATACCTTATCCCATATACAGAAAACACCCGAAAATACATTATAACCCGAATGGGGTTCATTTCTGACATCAATTAAATATTAAATAATAAGTACATATTTAAAAAAAGTCATAACGCCTCACGAAAAGTGATCTCTCAAAGCCGATTGACAGTGTCAAAATATTGTCAAAACTAAGCCGGGATATCCGTAATGAACGTTATATTGTTGTCAGCTTGTAGCTGTTATAAGTAAAGAATCCAGGCGCGCACCCAGAATTTTTGTTTGGAGGGGGCTTAATAATTACACACAAGTAAACAATTAAAACTAATTTTTAAATAATCACTTTTATTTAATATCGCCATATAATGTTTTATTATTATGTATTTAATATTTATAATTATATTTATAACTAAATCAATTTAAAATTTAAGTTTCCTGGGTCCCTTTTCAGAAAGAACTGTT